ACCTAATTTCCGGACAATAATATCTATTGAATTCTTTAAGTTCTAATCTTCCGTCCAAATCTGATCCGAGTGGCATTCTCACCGATAGGAGTATTATTGAGAGGTGAACCAACCGTTTNTCTTTTCATATAAAAATACATGGAAAACCATGCGCTTTGAGCGACCTCTAAATTTTTTTTTTTTTGATTTCAAAATAAAATAATAGGGGCATACTTGTTTTCGATATAGAACAATCCTAGGGGGTGAGAGAGCATTACAATTCCGACTTTACTGTTTTTGGGCCAACCTAACGGACATACAGATATGCAAATTGTCAACGTGTTATGAATAACTGCATCGTACATGCATAAGTATGTATTTAGGTATAAAAATCTACAGCCTCGAAAAATACGAAGCGTGCTGCGGTAGGAATAGATTATAAAAGGAGTGTATCTAGTGAATAAACATAGTACGTGGAGAGTACCTAATTTCCGGACAATAATATCTATTGAATTCTTTAAGTTCTAATCTTCCGTCCAAATCTGATCCGAGTGGCATTCTCACCGATAGGAGTATTATTGAGAGGTGAACCAACCGTTTGGGTTTCAATAATCATACGCCGCCGTAGCCCAGTGATTAGACGAGTGTCTGCTTAATAGGTTCCGGGTTCGATACTTCCTTCATGCAACATTCAATTTCTTGAAATTGCTTTCTAATATAGCTCGGCAGGCCCCATAGTGTATAATTCTGAAAATGATTGTTACGAAAACAGCTATTGTCCGGAATATTAATATTGAATCTAAAAGAAAATTAAATTAACCCTCTACTACATATTAAGGCAAATATGGCGTCTCACTACGGCTGACTTCCAAAACGTACCACTGCAATGTTTGGATACTGTTCTACTGCAATATTTAAACTGTTCCTATATGCAGAGTTGCGAAAAATTGCAGCTACATACATTGTACATTTTGAATATTCAACACAACAAAGAATAACCTTTCGTAATTCTCCATTTTGACAACACCAACACCAATGGCAACCAAAACCAAACGAAGCTTTAACTTTGTTTCTGATGCGCTGATTACTCTAGCGATGTGTTTTGATAACTTTTCNACCCAGTGATTAGACGAGTGTCTGCTTAATAGGTTCCGGGTTCGATACTTCCATCATGCAACATTCAATTTCTTGAAATTGCTTTCTAATATAGCTCGGTAGGCAATTACAGACCCCATAGTGTATAATTCTGAAAATGATTGTTACGAAAACAGCTATCGTCCGGAATATTAATATTGAATCTAAAAGAAAATTAAATTAACCCTCTACTACATATTAAGGCAAATATGGCGTCTCACTACGGCTGACTTCCAAAACGTACCACTGCAATGTTTGGATACTGTTCTACTGCAATATTTAAACTGTTCCTATATGCAGAGTTGCGAAAAATTGCAGCTACATACATTGTACATTTTGAATATTCAACACAATTCGCCATTTTGACAACATCAACACCAACCGCAACCAAAACCAAACGAAGCTTTAACTTTGTTTCTGATGCGCTGATTACTCTAGCGATGTGTTTTGATAACGTTTCGGGTCGTTTTGGAAAAGTATATGTACATTGTCAACATTATGTAGTTCGGCGTTACGGAACATTATACTTTGTACGTATGCAATGTAATTGACGNCAAAGAATAACCTTTCGTAATTCTCCATTTTGACAACACCAACACCAATGGCAACCAAAACCAAACGAAGCTTTAACTTTGTTTCTGATGCGCTGATTACTCTAGCGATGTGTTTTGATAACTTTTCGGGTCGTTTTGGAAAAGTATATATACATTGTCAACATTATGTAGTTCGGCGTTACGGAACATTATACTTTGTACGTATGCAATGTAATTGACGTTTTGGAAGTCAGCCTATTTTGGCAATTTTTCCCACTTAACTTAAAACCGTATCAAACTAATTAAATGCATAGAGATGTTAACTCTTTAGTAATAACGACACGTAATTGGATTGCCTATGTGCGCGCGGAACTTGACTGCAAAAAAGAAAAACTAATGAAAAACTCAAGTTGTTCGTAAGCTTCCATAGACGGACGCTCTAATGAGCGGACACATTCTTGGGAACGAACAATTTTTGTTTTTTTTCCCCATACAAAATGCTCTTCCATGCGCGGACTTTCCGATAAACGGACGCGGACACTCAAACATGTATATTAATTAAAAAAAAAAATTCCCCTTTAGCGGACGTGAAGCTCTAATAAGCAGTCAGTTTTGTTTATTTTTTTTCAGTCTGATGTTAACTCTTGCGCATGTTCAGATCGACTGCTGAGTGTAAGATCGACCTATCTCTGTAGCCAGTTCGAAAACGCCCTATCTCAAAAAATTTTTCAAAAATGCCCTATTTCAGAATTTTATTGGAAAACACCCTATCTCAGAATTTGCTTGNTTTTTCCCCATACAAAATGCTCTTCCATGCGCGGACTTTCCGATAAACGGACGCGGACACTCAAACATGTCTATTTATGAAAAAAAAAATTCCTCTTAAGCGGACGTGAAGCTCTAATAAGCAGTCAGTTTTGTTTATTTTTTTTTCAGTCTGATGTTAACTCTTGCGCATGTTCAGATCGACTGCTGAGTGTAGGATCGACCTATCTCTGTAGCCAGTTCGAAAACGCCCTATCTCAAAAAATTTTTCAAAAACGCCCTATTTCAGAATTTTATTGGAAAACACCCTATCTCAGAATTTGCTTGAAGAAAGCTTCAAAATATATTGAAAATATGCGTTTTTGAAACGAATTCTGAAATAGGGCATTCTTCAACCAAATTCTCGAATAGGGCTGCCGAGATAGGTCGATCTTTCACTCAGCAATCGATATACATACATACATATGGGAGATTTTTCGACTATGCGCCTATAACACAGAAGGACTCTACGTGTAATTCTAATCAAATTTTCCCAAGAAATCATGGGTCTTAACGCAATTTAGAGCTTGCCAAATTGCGAAAATGCCAAAATGGGTTTCTTATAAAAACATGCTGTAAGGGTTTTACGGCATGAAGAATCCATTTCTGCACTTATATTTTTCTTGAAACTTCCACCAGAGGGCGTTACAGTGAAAATTTTCACATTTTCTTCGAAATCTATTTTCACAATTCGCCAAACCCCAAATTGATTTTAGACCCATGTTTTCCTCGGTAAATTTGCTTAGAACTACACGTAGGTAGAATCCTCCTATGCTATACGCCCATAGAAACAAAAAAAAAAAATTGAGCCGCCCTAACATACCTATAATGTACATACAGATATTTGATGTTCTGAATAATCTATATATAAATAGAAAGATTTTTGTTTAATTTGCATCCTACACGCCTTATTTCCACGAAAGCCGGCATCAAGGCGTAAAATTTCTGTCTAAAACCGCTTTGCTTTATCTATATCAGCGAGAAAACTTATACATACATACATAGAATTATTTAAATAGTTAGACATACGTAAACATGTATTCTACTATTCTATATCGCACACGATCTTCAAAAGTGACACAACTCAAAATTTGGCATTTTTGAAATTATGCACAAAAAATGTACACAGAGCTTTTATTTGCCTTTCAGCAAAAGCTGGAACAAATTTTTGTTATAATTTGTTGAAAAACCTAGGGTAAAGTCTTCCTTGCCCATGTGATTACCATGTGCTAAGAAATAGTTTTTCGCATTTTCTGACGAACGTATAATTTTGAGTTGTGTCTCTTTTGAAGACGGTGTGTGATATGTTTGTAGTTATGTATGTATGTATGTATATTTTTAAATCTACTTAATTTACTTTGAAAATTTTTAACTGTAAGATAACAATAGTAAAAAAAACGTGACCAGATTTGCGTGTAGAATAACAATAAAGTAATGCGCTAGAGNTATTTGGTCTCGCAAATGTCAATTTTTTTTATTTTTTCTCACAAAAATTCTAAATTATTAAAATCTATTTGCATAGGAAACCTTTTTCCATACAAAACAAGCGATTGAAGAGTAGCTTCTGGAACGCTCGCCCAACTCAGCACCACCACCCCTGATTACTGGGCCTTGCAAAGGATGGATCAATGCTTCGAGAAGCAAAAAAATTTACTAAGAACGAAAGTTGCAATAATTTAATTTTTTCCAATTTCAAATTTTTATTTTTTTTTGTATTTCACATGCAGTGTTGCCAGAACTTTTTGGACGAACCGGCTAAATTGGCAAATAAAACCGGCTAAAATGTTTCAACTAAATTTCACATGTTTTATTTAAATAAATCACGAGTAAAAACACTATTTCTTGGAGAGAAGTTACAAATTCGAGCCGGAAAAAATTTTGCCAACAAGAATTTGCAATTAGGAAAAACATATGATTGTGGCACATGGTTGGATTTTTTGTCGACGATAATTTGAATAAACAAGTTCGTTAAATTTCTTTTGTTTGAAATGCAACCGTGGACACTAGCTGGCAGAAAAACTTGCAAATTTACGTTCGTACAGAAATTTGCAAGTTTCTCTACGTGAGAGAGAATTTGGGAGCATTTTTTCTTACTATCTGAGTGATAATTCTCGCTAGATTTTCGACAAACAAACCTATTGTCTTCCCTAGAAGGCTTTTTCAGACTGACCAATTCTCAATGCACTCAAATAGAAACCAGTACACATAAAAGACGCTGTAAAAACTTTCCTCCAATTTTAATGCAGTAAAACAACGACCTTAAGTTAACATCAACCGAGCCCATATGTTTGACAAGGGATGCCAAATCACAGTTACACAAAAGAACTGGTCAGATTTTTCAGAAATCCCTTCAATTCTGATGTAAAATATGATGCCAAAAGACTGCAGATCTCCCATTTAGATGACTGGTCATATGACCGGCAGATATCTCGTAGGATTCCCAGAGAGTTTTGCTTTACATAGAAATTTGTGCTCTTTTATTTTCATTTTGACTCACTTCAGTGTTCATTCCTTTAATT